GTATTTATACCCCCTCATTCAAAACATAACATTTGGAGGCTGAGTCATCACTCTGCTGGGTGACTGGATGCTCCGGTCAGTTATCCCTGCCACTGTGTGAGAAAGAGCCATTAAGTTCTGACTAGACTCTGACCTATGTCCGGTCATGAAAACTACTCTCTGGAACCTTACTGATGTTGACCGGATGTTGGCACCTAGAGTCTGGTCACTTCGCTGTTTAGCGTCCGGTCAGTTACCAGATCCTGACCAGCGTCTGGTCAGCACTGATCGGACGCGTCCGATCAGGAATATCCCTCTCTGGAACCTCTCTGGAATTGACCGGACTCTAGCACCCAGCGTCCGGTCACTTTTCACTCAGCGTCCGGTCGCAACCAGATGGCTCCAGTTGATCAAATGAACTGACCAGACTCACCCTTCAGCGTCCGGTCACAACCAGACCGGCGTCCGATCAGTCATTTGACCCTCCATTCAATTCGAACTCAAAATCATATGTGAATGAAGTTTGCTCCAATTGATCTTAGGGCTATTCTGGAGCTACCTAGTGCTAGATTTGACAAGTGTGCACTACACCTAACTCACTAGACTCACCTAGGTCAAGCTACTAGTCCATACCCCCCTTAATAGTACGGCCAAAGAAAAATCAAAGTCCTAAACTACTCTAAGTGTCTCTTCAACACCAAACGACACTTAGAACTAGTCCATCCTTAACCTTGTCGTCCATCCTTTGAAAACCAAAATGATTTCCATCGTAGGGGCATGATAACCATGATTGCTCAATCAATTGCCATTACCATGACCTAACTTAAATTGCCTATGCAAAACACATGTTAGTCATAGTAATCTCGTATTGTCATTAATCATCGAAACCCAACTAGGGGCCTAGATGCTTTCAGGTGGCTCCATGGACAATGCTTTGTAGACCTTGCCCCTCACTTTTTCACGGCTGTCCCCAAAAGGAGGGTCAAGAGGCACATTGTCTGGGACGCCCTCACTAACCAGGCTTGGATTTTGGACATCTAGGGAGCTTTTACAGATGGTGTGATTGTAGACTACCTTCATCTATGGGATCTACTATTGGATTTTCAGCTGCAGCCGGAGGTTGAGGATAGACACTTATGGAGGCTCTCCTCCAATGGACAATACTCGGCTAAGTCAGCATATGAAGGTTTCTTTTTGGGTTCTACTCTTTTTGGACCATGGGAAAGGATCTAGAAATCTTGGGCACTACCCAAATGTCGCTTCTTTATGTGGATGGTCGCGCACAATAAGTGTTGGATGGTTGATCGCCTGGCATGTCGTGGGCTACCTCATCCCGAGCATTGTCCTCTTTGTGACCAAGAAGAGGAGACTATCGACCATCTCCTTTGTCCATTGTGTATTCGCAAGAGAATTTTGGTTTAATCTGTTTAGGCAGATCGGTCTTCAGAGCATGTCCCCTCAGCCTACAGAGTTATCCTTCCATGATTGGTGGGAGAAAGCTAGCAGCAGCACTGCTGATGAGATGACAAGGCAAGGAATTAATTCGCTCATTATACTCGGAGCTTAGACTATATGGAACCATCGCAATGGGTGTGTTTTTTATGGAGCAACTCCAAATTAGCTAGTGCTTTGATCATAGCTGGTAAGGAGCGTCGCCTGTGGTCTATGGTAGGGGCTCGAGGGCTATATTTCTTGACTGCCCTCGTCCCCGGTATTTAGAGTGACTAGCTTTGTAGTGGTCGCCTTGTGTAGTTTTCTCATGGGTGTGATTGTAATCCTGGAAGCTGGTGGGGTGTGAGTGCATGCATGTGTGTATGTGGTGTTGTTTGGGCTCTTGCCATTTACTCTCTTCTTAATATAGGCGCAGCTCTCCTGTGTTTTCGAGAAAAAATAAATCACTAAAGATGACCTATATTCCAAATGTTCCAAAGGCTTCACCATGGAGATTTGCCTTTGTTTAGTTTGAACTTGGTGTTATAACCCTCATTCCAAAAGTGCTAGAAACCAACTGTATATAGAAGTACAGACCAATTTGTTTGCTCAATATGAGTTTCAAAATCTTTACAAAAGTGGCTACAAATCGAGTTAATATGGTGGCTGATCATATTATAAGCCCAACTCAATCGGCTTTCATGAGATGATGCAACATCTTTGAAGGGGTTGTTACCTTACATGAGACAATACATGGACTCCACCGAAACAAACTAAACGAAGTAATTTTCAAAATAGATTTTGAAAAAACATATGACAAGGTTAGATGGACTTTTTTACTACAAACACTGCATATGAAAAGCTTTTCTCCCAAGTGGATCAAATGGGTTGAAACCTTTATCATAGGTGGGAGTGTGGCAATTAATGTGAATGATGAGATTGGACACTTCTTCCAAACAAAGAAAGGTATTCATCAAGGGGACACTTTATCTCCTCTTTTGTCAACATTGTTGCTGACATGTTAACAATCCTCATTAATAGAGCCAAGAAAGATGTACAATTAAGTGGAGTGGTGGCCCATTTGGTGGATGGTGGCTTATCAATATTCTACAATACGCTGATGACACAATGCGCTTTATGAAACACGGTCTAGAGCAAGCCCGAAACATGAAGTTATTACTTTATGCTTTTGAGCAAGCATCGGGTCTTAAAATAAATTTCTATAAAAGTCGTGTACTGTTTTGGCAAGGCTTAGGAAGCAGAGGCCCAATATACGGAGCTTTTTGGATGCAAATCCGGTGATTTCCCGATGACATATTTAGGTATTCCGGTTCATTTTAGGAAGATAAGAAATGGGGATTAGCAAAAGGTGGAAGAACATTATGAGAAGAGGTTAAGCAGTTGGAAAGGAAAACATCTATCAACAAGGGGATGTCTAACACTGTTCAACTTAGTCTGAGTAGTCTACCATTGTACATGATATCTTTCTTTGCAATTCCAAGAGGGTTGCTGAAGTGACAACCGAAAGAGGAAGTATCGCCTTGCCAAGTGGAGCATACTTTGTTAGCCAAAAGCTCCAGGGGGATTAGGAATTCATGATCTGAATACTAAAAATATTGCACTTCTTGGTAAATTGCTCTTTAAGTTACTTACAACGGATGGGACCTAGCAGCAATTAATTCAAGTATTTAGGCTCCATACCACTATCCCAGGCATATTGGAAAAGTGGGGACTCGATTTCTGGGCCAGTCTTATGAATGTGAAACAGGATTTTCTCCACTACAGATCAAAGTATTTCTTTGGTATCTTCATAGAGGGGTAATTCTAACAAAAGATATATCCAAACGCAATTGACAAAGTAGTAGTGAAAAGTATTGTTTTTGTCAAAAAATGAGACAATTAAGCACATGTTCTTTGAATGTCATTTTGCCCGTGCAGTTTGGAGCTGCATATATGTTGTTTTAAGCGTTCCTCAACCTTATAGTATTTCTCATATGCTTGGGAGTTGGCTTTAGGGGCTTGGGAGGGAGTTAAAATCTTTAGTTCTGTTAGGAGCGGTAGCTATTTGTTGATCGCTTTGGTTATGCAGAAATGATTTGGTGTTTGAAATGAAACATGCTTATTCTTCTTTTTCAGGTGGTATATTTGGTTATCCATTGGCTCCGCACTTGACTTATCCTCTAGAAGGTTACTTCACGTGCTTTGGTTGCAGGGGCATTGCAACAATTAGCACAAGCGGTCATGGTGTTTTCTTCTAGGCACATGGGTGGTGTCTTAGGATCGATAGTTATTAGAGTGCCACACTCTCCTTTTTTTGTTTAAGCTTAGTGCTCTTATGCAGAGGCCGGAAGTGAATTCATGATTATTGATCGATATAATGATTGAATTAATAAAAGCCTTTCTTTATCAAAAAAAAAAGTCACCGACTCTTCAAGTTGCAATGCTATTTTACTATTAGAAAAAAGAGGTTAACAAATTTGAACGAGGAGATTGTTGAGGAAATAAGAGAAGTTATTTGGTGACCCAATCCAACAATGTACCTCTACTTAAACGATTGTTTATAGTGGCATTCTTTTAATTAGGAAAATGTTTTTTTTCCATGAGGTAACACATAGTACCGACCAATCTTTCTCCACCTGACAAGAAATATTCTTGTTTCCAAACAGGTTACAGGTCTACATCATTAAGGTATATGATATATCGACATATAGTTGCAGAAACACCACTGCATGATAGATTGAATGTCCTCTCTAGTGCCTAGTCCCTACCCAATAAGTTTCGTGAAACTTAAGCTGAAGGGCAAGGGGGGCGACTACTAGTCAACTGCTAAGTAAGCTAGGAGTGTTGGGTTGCTCCTCCTAAATTTTAGTCGTTGTCTCATTAAATGTTTAGACATATGCGTGAAGTATTAAATATAGATTAATTACGAAACTAATTGCATAGTTTGCGACTAATTTACGAGACGAATCTTTTAAGCCTAATTAGTCTATGATTTGACAATGTGGTGCTACAGTAAACATGTGCTAATGCTGGATTAATTAGGCTTAATAAATTCATCTCGTAGAGTACTGATGGATTCTGTAATTTATATTTTTATTAGTATGCGAACACCTCATACAACACTTTCACGTAACACCTCCTAAATTTTAGTCAATAAGTCCAAACACCCACCAATACCAGAAGCTCCCTTGACTATGTTGACGCCTGGCCTAGTTGCAGAAACACCACTGCACATATTCTGGAATTCCCTCCATTCCCAATAATTAGTTTTGCTATAGTATGAAACTGAGAGTTGAAGGGCTCAAGGGGGGCGACTGTGGTTTGCTAGTCAACGGCCAAGTAGACATATCAGAGAACCAACTCAGCTCACGGATCTGGCCAGGCAAGAGTGCATGACTTGCTTTGCAATGTCCCAATCTCCCAGTCGACTATGTTCTTGCCTAGCTGATATCCCCCATCTGTTCCCATCTCAAGGTGCGTGGATGTTGCACAATTCCTCCGAGCATTAGCATCACCAATCACTAGCTGCAGCCACACTGCCACAGACAAACAAGCTGGAGTATCTAGGAGAGAGAGGCAGGGGAGAAGCAATGGCGGATCTTGCAGTGAGCTTGGCCAAGTCGGTGGTGGAGGGGGCTGTGACCAAGGCCCTGGCGGCGATCGAGGAGGAGGGAGCTCTGCGGCAGAGCACGCAGAACGACCTGGCGTTCATCACCGGTGAGTTCCAGATGATGCAATCATTCCTCAATGTCGCAGATGAGGAACGCGTCAGGAACAGCGTGGTGAGGACCTGGGTCAGACAGGTCCGTGACCTCGCCTACAACGTGGAGGACTGCATCGAGTATGTGATCCACCTTGACAAGGCGCCAGACTGGTATTGCCGCTGCATCCCACGCTTCATCAGGCCGCAGCTGCCGCTGGACAAGGCGGTCGCTGAGATAAAGCTGCTCAAGGGCAGGGTTGAGGAGGTGAGCCTTCGGAACATGCGCTACAACCTCATCAGCGATTCAGGTTCCAAGCCCGTCACGCAGCAACAGTTGGTGCCTAGTGGTGCTTCTGTCGGTGCCACAACGTTTGCCATGCTCAACAAAGCAAGAGATACCACAAAGATGCAGCGGGGATTAGGAGATCTGACCAAGCTGCTGATCACCAAGAAACCTGGTGGAGATCTTGGAGTGATCTCGGTGTGGGCAGCAGGTGGCAATGCTGCTGATACCACACCCATTATCAGGGAGGCCTATGGGGAACCAGAAATATGTGGAAGCTTCGGATGCCGTGGCTGGGCAAAGCTGACGCATCCTTTCAGTCCCCATGAGTTCCAGCGGAGTTTGCTGATTCAATTCCACACCAAGCCTTGCATACAAAATGAGACCGACGAATATGTTAATATCCTCCAGAGATTGGAGGCGGCCTCTGAAGGGGAACTTGTGCATGACTTCATGAAGATAATGAAACAGGAGAGGTACCTGGTTGTCCTGGAAAACATCTCCAGCATGGTAGATTGGGACACCGTCAGAGCTTACCTGCCTGACGGCAAAAATGGCAGTTGGATCATCATTTCTACGCAGCAATCTGAAGTGGCGAGGCTGTGTGTGGAGATCCGTGGCAAATGTTCGAGCTTAAACAGAACTCTGCTGAACACTCCGTATGTGTCTTCTTCCAGGAGGTAATCCCTGCTGAATCACAATATACAGAGTAATTTTCAGCAAAAACAAAAAAGGCTTTAGTATCCCTGTTTCTCTTGTTGTTTTCGACATCTGTGGTTTCCTTTTCGTTGATTATATATTCTAATCTTTTTCTTCCAAGTTCCAAAAGAACTAAAGAAACTATCCAATTCATATGGAAGTACTTTGATTAAAAATGTTCTACTAGTAGTTCTCAAGTAACAAATTACTTATGTTGCTCATCAGTGAAAGCCTTCGCATTGTCTCTGCATGTCTCTTTGATCAGCCATCACCTCACAAATTTTCCGTATTGTCAGGGTCCTCAAGGGGACGACCGATATAGAAGCAAGAAAACCAAGTTGCAAGGTGGCTTAGGAGATCTAACCAAGTTGTTGATCACCAAGAAACCTGGCGGCGACCTTGGAGTGATGTCACTGTGGGCAGCAGGTGGCAATGCTGATACCATACCCGTCGTCAGGGAGGCCTATGGGGAACCAGAAATATGTGAAAACTTCGTATGCCGTGGGTGGGCAAAGCTGATGCATCCTTTTAATCCCCTCGAGTTCCAGCGGAGTTTGCTGATTCAATTCCACAAAAACTCTTGCCTACAAAAGAAATTGAGTGTAGACGTAGATACGCTGAACAGATTGGAGGCGTTGCCAGAAGACAAACTTATTCAAGAGTTGAAGAAGAAAATGAAGGGGAGGTACCTGGTTGTACTGGAAAACATTTCCACTGTGGTAGACTGGAACACTGTTAGAGCTTACCTACCTGACCGGAAAAATAACAGTTGGATCATCATCTCTACGACTCAATCTGAAATCGCGAGGCTGTTTGTCGGAGATCCATGGCAAGCATTGGAGCACAAGCAGTTCTCAGCCGAATACTCGTTATGTTTCTTGCGGGAGGTAAGACAGCTGAAACACAACCGAACAGTTTTATGGAGAACACCGAATTTAATCTTATCGTAGTATCTTACTACTCTCTCCGTTCTAAAATATAAGTCGTTTTGACTTTTTTTTTGTTACATTCATTTTGCTATGCATCTAAATAAATAATATGTCTAGATACATAGCAAAATGGATGAATAAAAAAAGTCAAAGTGACTTATAATTTGGAACGGAGAGAGTATTACTGAGCAGAGGTCTCAAATAAATTTCAGGTTTATCATCACAATAAGTGTTAGGAAAAAAAGAGAAAAACCTGAGGACTCTCACAATAATCAGAAATATCTAGTTTTTAATTTGGTACTCCCACTATTCTAAATTATAAGACGCTTTGCCTTTTCTTTATACTTTATTTACTTTTACTATGCATCTAGACATAGTTTATATCTAAATGCATAATAAAAGCTATGTGTCTAGAAAAGTCAAAACGTCTTATAATTTAGAATGGTGAGATTAGATTCTATATTTTGCTTGTAAAAGTTACACATCTCTACTACTATAGAAAATACATAAAGTAAACTCATAAATTTGTATCTAGATTACCTACCTTTCTTATTATGAAAGAAAATTTAAAATAACCAAGTTTTTAGAACAAATGAGCATTATAAGATACATTAACAAATTTATTTTTATAGTTTACCTCTTCGATGCCCTAAATGTTAATATTTTTCTCTATAAACTTTGTCAAACTTATGGTGGTTTGACTAAGAACAAACTCAAATCCATTATATATTTGAGGACCGAAAATTAGATCAATGTATCCAAATAGACCTTTAGTTACAGTGTCATTCCTCCACTGCATGCTACCTAGTCCACACGTCTCTCTCTTTTTTCTTGAGAGAAAAGGCTAAGATCTATTAATCAGGAAGTGTTACATTATTAGTTGCTACTAAACATGCACAAAGTCAAGTACATGTCGTAGCCACAACGTTGATTAAAAAACATATAAGCATGACTTTGCTAGAAATCAGCAATCATATTTTGAGCTCTCTTTATGTAACCAAACTCAGCCGCCTGAACGCCACCCACAAATGTTCGTATTTCCTTTACCCGTAGGACTAGGCAGGATCTGTTATTACTTCTTGAATTCAGTGCCGTAGCTTATAAACTGTATAACAAGACTAGGTGAGGTTTTCATTACATAGTCAAAAGGAGAGCCTCTAGCCAAAAGGAGAGCCTCTCTTATAAACTGTATAACAAGACTAGGTGAGGTTTTCATTACATAGTCAAAAGGAGAGCCTCTAGCCAAAAGGAGAGCCTCTCTACACACAAGCAATCTAGCCTCCTTTGCATCAAAATAGTCATATTGAACATGTGACCAAGCCAGGAGCACATGTTAGGTTTAGTTCCACATCGGAAGTTGATGGCGGGGGGAACAACATATAAGGCGGAGGCAATCCGCACCTATCAAGCTAGTCAGTTGGGTCGAGTTAGGCCCGAGGCTTTGTATTTTTTGGGCTCTGGTGGACTTGGGCCGGGGTGAGAGGGGCGCTAGCTCACCATGAGCATTAGACTCGAGGCCTAGATAACATCTTCCGGAGGGCACACGAGGTGTGTGTTATGTGAAGAGTTGGGCCCGATGTGTGACAAGGCCTAGATAACATCTTCTGGAGGTCACACGAGGTGTATGTTATGTGAAGAGTTGGGCCCGATGTGTGACAAGGGACACTGTTTAGTCCCACATTAGAAGTTGATGGTGGAGGAGCACAACATATAAGGCGTGGGCAGTCCTCACCTATCAGGTTAGTCTTTTGGGTTAAGTTATTAAGCCCGAGCCTTTGTTTTTGTGTGGGCTCCGATGGACCTGGGCCTAGGAAGGAGCCAGCTCATGGATATAGCAAGCTGGCCCGGATCCGCTATGCACTATAACTATAACAACGCATTTCCTTTTCACCTCTTGCTATATGCCAAGTCCTTCTATGTTAGTTTCCTTGTAAAAAGATGCATCAACATTGATTTCCTTTTTCATCTCTTGCTATTATGCTAAGGCCTTCTATGTTAGTTTCCTTGTAAAAAAATACATCAACATAAACTTTAACCCTACTAAGATGAGGTCGTTTCCAGTTATAAACAACTTTTTCAGCCCAATCTCTCTCTTTTTAACTATTTGTTTGCCGTTGTTATCCACAAGCTATTGCTATTGTCGGATTTGTAACCATTAGGCCTTATAACTCATCAGGAAACAAGCATACCCTCAATAGGCATTTGTTTACCTTTATGTTTGAGTTGTATGCCGGACTCGCCACAACAGCATTAGAAAATTATCACGCATGACATTGTTACGAAAGGATAGAGTTAAAGACAGCCAATCTGAACCACCGCTAATGACGTATTTTTCTTAAATTTTGTGTTTACAGGATCCTCAAGGCAACGACCGAGATAAAAACAAGCAAATCATTATGGTGATCCCCAACCATAATGAGGCATCATCATCAACGAATGAAGTCAGACACAAGGGTGGCTACGCCTTGTATGCCCGCATCCCCACCTCGAAAAACAATGCTGATATGTGGATGGACCGATTCCCCCTAGTTGGTGTACGCAAATCACAAATGGAAGATCTTCGTGGCTATATAGCCAATGCGCGTATGAAGGGTTTTGCAGTGGTATCCGTGTGGGGGATAGCTGGTGTTGGGAAATCAGCTCTAGTCAGGAACTTATACTATGACACAATGCGCAGTGGGAACAGAATGTTTACCATGTACGGTTGGGTGGATGTATCGCATCCATTCAATTTAGCAAACTTCGCTTGGAGCTTACTTTCAGAACTTCAGTCAGATTCTCCTCATCAAAATGGAATCACCAATCCCATTCAAGAGTGTCATCAGCTTCTGGAGAATCATCGCTGCCTTGTCGTTATAGATGGTTTGGAATCCACAGAAGAGTGGGATCTAATACGACATTCCTTGGTATCTACTCATCCTAGAAGTACTATCATTGTGATTACAACAGAAGCAAGCATAGGCACTCACTGTTGTGCAAATCGAGAAGAGGCTATGTACAATGTCAAAAGTCTAGAAGACGATGAAGCACTTGTTCTCTTCAAAAAGGAGGTTTGCTTTCTTGCAAGATACTTTGCCTATCCTCTTTGTCTCCTGAAATCTAATTTTATCAGATACATCTTGATGTGCAAATGCTATTGCAAAACATGAAAAATTGTTGTATGATTTCTCTTCGCACTCTAGCCACCCCTCCCCCGGAACTCTAGGAGATTAAACTATGTTTACATAAAAAATGGGGGGGGGGGGACAATTTTTGGATCCAAGTAGTTTTATCTGAACTCTTTTTTTTTCTATGCTCGATCCCAACTTCCTAAAAAGACACAGAATCATCTTATCCAAGTCTTCACAAAATGTGCTTTAGAATACTTAACAAAACTCAATATCTAAATGGTATCATGAAAATCTCAGTAATCCCATGACCTGTAATATAGAATTTAATCTGGGAAAACTATATCTGTAGTAGTATTGGTTTTATAAACATACAATAGTATACTAATTATCATACATTCTATATAGATATGTCATAATATTTCATTTTTTTTAAAAATAACAAATTACACAGATTATCACAAACAACAAGAAGCTGCAATCCACAGATTTAAAGTTAAAACAAACATATCCTTATGCACATGTAATTGTTTCCTTTTTCCAATGCATGAATTTTATATTTGATAGCTAATTGGTGATTCATAGTATAATTAATACTACTAATGTAACTTCTTTTCAATAATATAGGTACGCATATTTCCAGATCCGTCTGCTTTAGGGAACTCTGAAGGTCCAGAGCTGCGAAAACTTATTTCAAAGTGTGGGGGACTTCCCAAACTAATAGTTGCTGTAGCCGACTTTTTGGCACCCATGTCAGTCAGCTGGATGAACAGTGCGGTCAATCTGAGTGACAGATTTATGCATGATATGGAGACTAAACCAGAATTTGATAACTTGCGTGGACTATTTGGTTGGATGCATTCCTACTTCCGTACTTGCCCATATTACCTCAAGCCATGTATCCTCTACCTGTCCATTTTTCCGCAAGGCCAAAGCATTCGCCGGAGGCGTCTAGTGAGGCGGTGGATCGCAGAGGGCTACTCAAGGGGCACGTCCAGCCAGTCAGCTGAAGAGAATGGGGAGAAATTCTTCTTGATGCTCCTTGATCTGAGTATCATCCAGCAGGCACCACATTCAGTCACCACTGCAGATACAAGAATGGTCTTGTGCAAGGTCAACGGCTTCTTCCGTGAGTACATCATATCAAGGCAAAAGGATGAGGAACTTGTCTTCGAACTGGAGGGTAGGTGCACATTGACCAGTCAGCGCACAGGACGGCACCTGGTCATAAAGGATAGCTGGGACAGAGACAAGATTGTGTTCAGTAGTATTGACTTCTCAAGGCTGCGCTCCCTCACTGTGTTTGGAGAGTGGAAGCCCTTCTTCATCAATGAAACTATGAGGGTGCTCCGGGTGCTTGATCTCGAGAATGCAACAGGTGTGACATATAAATACCTCGGACAGATGCTGAAGGTGCTTCCTCGCCTCAAGTTCCTCTCTCTTAGAGGAAGAAGAGAGATCTGCTGTCTGCCAAGTTCATTTGCTGGGCTGAGGCAGCTTGAAACTCTGGATGTCAGGGGCACCTCCATAGTCACTTTGCTGCCATCCATTACCAAGCTTACCAAGCTGCAGTACATCCGTGCTGGCACAGCTAAGGAAGCATCAGTACCATGTTCTCATTTGTCTTGGTTGCCTAGCTGCTGCAGAGGTCCTGTAGGTGGTGTTCAGGTGCCTGCAGGGATTGAGAAACTTACAGCCTTGCACACTCTTGGTGCTGTCAACATTGGTTTTTCAGGGGGCAAGGCCATCCTGAAAGAGCTCAAGAAGCTCACCCAATTGCACAAGCTCGAAGTGACTGGCGTCAACAAGAAAAACAGCAATGAGTTCTGTTCTGCCATCTCAGACCATGTTCATTTGGAATCCTTGTCAGTGTGGCTCAGCATGGGCAATAATGAACATTTTTCGGAGGACATGTTCCCGACTCAGGCTCAGGCGAAGCCTCTCGAGAAACTTCAGAGCCTTAAGCTATATGGTCCCATAAGATCAGTGCCGGCATGGATCAAAGATCTTCCCAAACTCACAAAGTTGGAATTGGAACTGGAGGTAACCATGTCTGTACAAGTTGAAGTAAATAATGTCCTCGGAGTCCTGGGGGAAATTAAAGAACTGCGTATCCTGCGTCTCTGTGCCAAACCGCTTCAAGATGGTGACGGTAATCTTGATTTTCGTGTCTTGGTGGATGGCGTGCATGATCGCTGTTATCGAAAGGTTAAGATCCTCGAGATTTCTTGCAGCTCCAATTTAACTGTCACCTTCGGATCACATGCAATGGAAAATCTTGAGCTTCTGATAGGTACATGCAGTGTTGGGTCAGCGTTGAAATTCGCTGAGCTAAAGACTCTCTCTGTAGGAAAACTCAAGGAGGTGAGGTATTTGGGTTCCCTTGACAACACACATAAGGCAGGCATGGAGAATCAACTCAACAAGCATCGTATGAAACCTGTTTTGATCCATGTCCATCCTGATGGACACTGAGGTCACGACGAGCCGACGATCAGTCTGCTGATTCAGGCTTCTGCAGGACCAGGACTAAATGACTGGTGCTGTTCATTTATACCTTCCCTCTTCCTTTTTCATCCTACTCTAGGCATTTGAACTGAAACATCTGGGTTCATGATAATGTAATGATAATCGTTGCTTCTTCAATGTCAAAATCTATGCATAGGTGGAGAAAAATAAGGAGTGAACATATATGCTAAATAGACTCGATTTTGTTTACTTTGATGCAAATACGTTGTAAGTGTATATATGTTGGACCTATGCATAAGTGTAAGTCTTCTCACCTCCCTTGGGAGGCCGTGTGAGTTTATTTATTGTCAAGAAAAGCCTTCGATGTGGCACTACATGGCAACACATAACCAGAGATTGATTGATCTGTCTATCCTATACAAATAGAAGATTGATACAACATTGATATTTACTTTATGTGACTAGGCACAATATCAATCAATCTCGGATTGTGCTAAGGAAAATATACTTTCTGTTTACATGCCCCCTCGATCATAACTTTCCTAAATCAAGATTGCTTCTAATTTGTTCTAACAATTGAATTGACAAAGGTTTAGTAAAACCATTAGCAATCTGATCAGCAGAGGATATAAGTTTAATCTCCAGTAATTTGCTTGCTACTCTTTCTTGGACAAAGTGATAATCAACTTCAATATACTCTAGCATGAAAGACTGGTAGATAAGTGGCAACCAATATTATCATACCACAGGCGCGCAGCTTTAAGACCCTGAATTCTAGCTCACTAAGCAAAGGTTTGTACCCACATAACTTCAGCTGTAGCATTAGCCATGGCCTTGTACTCGGCTTTAGTACTTGACTGCCATACGGTGGGTTGTTTTTGTGCAGTCCAGGAAATAAGATTTAATCCCAAAAATATGAAAAAAAACACCAATAGACTTTCTATTGTCAGTGCACCTAGCACAATCTGTATCTGAGTAAGCACTAACAAGAGTTGACCTGGAACACTTGATTCTGAGTCCAAAACATTCAGCTTACCCAGAAAACGGCACTATTCAGCTTGTTTTTTCAGCCGAAACAGTGTTTTTCTCTCACAACAATTCAGCCAGAACAATGTTTTTAGCCAAATTCAGCTAAGTTTCATCAAGCCAAACGGAGCCAAGTTTTAGCAAGCCGAACGGGGCCAAGCACCAGCATAAGGTATAACTGAAGTACCGCAATATCCTTTTACTGAGGTCCAATGTTGTGTAGTTTACGAATGTAACACTAATACAGAAAAGTTTGATCACCGCCTGGACTTTCACCGCCGTTTATGTGAGAATCAGCGGTGATGCATTTCACCGCCGGTTCAGAGGCAGAGGGAGCGCAGTAGCATGAGTAATCGGCAGTGATAAATGTTTTCACTGCCGGTTCAGTGTATGATCCGGTGGCGAAAATTGTGCAGGTCTTTGTAGCTGGATCATATGCCGAACCGGTGATGAAAACATTTAGCACCGCCAGTTAGTCACCCAATGCACAACGCACCTACAAACCAGTGGTGATAAGTAGTTTCACCGCAGGTTTGAAAGTAGGACACAGTGCACATTAGAGGCCGGCGGTGGTGAAAATCAGTATCACCGTCCGCTCGCAATATGATATGGTGGTGAAAATCACGGTTCTAACCGCCGCATTGTCTGTCGAACCAGTGGTGATAGAGATTTTACATCTAGTTTGTTTGGGCACTAAACTCCACCTGCTACGACCCGACGGTGAAAACGGGTATCATCGTTGGTAGTCTATTTGATCCGGTGGTGGTAATCGGCTGAAACAAAACCCTTTTTTCTCTCCTCTTCTCCCCCAACTTCTTGACCCGCGACTTCCACCATTTTCGCAACTGTTCTTCACCACGTTGGTCATGGAGGCACTCAATTTTCAAAGGATGAACACCACCCTATTCTAAGGTTGGTAACTAGCAACCATTTAATTTCCTAGCTTGTTCCTTTGGTTAAATTGTGAATGAAAATTATCTTTCTTCTTTTTAGAGTGCTTAATGATTATGGATTAATATGATTCTTGATGGTTGTACCGCTTGGAGATTGTGTGGGGGCTCCGATCCTTGGCTTGTGAGGGACTTTGTACTCATCCTCATGGAAGACTCGCAAAGAGTAACTACTATGACCGGCGTGACTTACCAGCGCCAGGGGTCCGGCCAGTGGCTAGGAGCTGCACCAGCATAGGGGCGGTGAGATAAGATATTTCCTTTTATATCTAGATTGATTTGTTAGGAGAGGATATATACCTCTAAAACATGATTGAGTTAATTAAGCAAGGCAATTATCTTGTGTGGCCTCTAGGCCTTGTTGACGATAAATTCACCATACTTTTGCATACTCAAAACCTTCAACAAAACACCTTTTTGGAAGCTAACAAGCAAAGGCATATAGTGGTTTTTACAAATAACTTAGTTCCACATGTACATGTTATTATTTGCTTGTAGGCACGCAAAAACACACACTTGGGGTGGCTGGAGGCCCCACATAGGCGTCAGGCGACCTACCCATGGTGCCCATCAGCCCCTCTCAAGCCTCCCATGATCCTTCCACACACTTGAGAGGCAATCTCCACCCTTGGATCCAAAGCTCCTCTTCTCTCATTGGCTAAGAGGGTGAGCACACAGTTCATGGGCCCTAGCAAGCAACCAACATGACAAAGGTGACCAAACACACACTATGATGGTGGTCCAAGCTTCTAGTAGGAGAGACGTTCACTACTAATTTTTGACCCTGTTGCACCGGTAATTTTTGATGTAATAGGGCCAAAATTGATGCGAGCCGATGCAATAGCTCTAGATGCAATAGCCTTGTCGCATCGGTTTCTTGGTGACCGATGTAAGAGTTCGCTATTGCATTGGCCATCCGTTGTCTTGGTGAAACCAAACACACCCAATGCTAAAGTTACAGCATATACGTATTATTATTAATTACTTTTTTTTGTTTTCAATTTCAAATCCACGCATCAGTTAGGATTCTAGCCCCAGCCTAAGTCCCGGCTAGAAGTTAGCCAAAGAAAAAATCCAAACACACCCAATGCGCTTGACAACCAATTTCCTAAGTTACTAACATTTATATAAAATAAGTATCGTATTATTATTATATTAAGACTTTTTAATACTAATTTCAATTTCTTTAAATCCACGCATCAGATTTTTGTCTTTTTAGGACCATTGGAGTAGGCCGCATCTCTAGCACTAGCCCAAAAACAGAGCCCTACTTTTTATTTAGGTGCAGACTAACATCTGTTATGAATTGGGACCCGCGTGTCATTGAGCCATGCCTTTCTTCCCCATCATCCTCCACACACATGAGGGCATTAATGTGCCCCCAAAACTAAGTCCCCAAAATCATATCAGCAGCCAATGATTATTATTATATTAAGATAGACAAAGAAAAAAATCTATCAACACAAGTGTCTGCCTAGCTTACTCCCTCCGTTCCAAAAAGAATGCAATTCTCGCTTCCCGAGGAGTCAACCGATTTCGACTTCTACAAAAAAATACTAACATTTACAACATAAAATAAGTATCAGTAGATTAATGACGCAATATATTTTCATAATAAATCTTAGTTGAGACATAAATGTTAATACTAGTCACTATAAACTTAGTCAAACTTTAGTAAATTTGACCAGCACGATTCTCATAATTGCATTCTTTTTGGGACCAATGGAGTAGCTGTAAAGGATCGCTTCTGTCATGCGTGAGGTCCTAAGTTCAAGTCTTTATAGACTCTATTTTTTTGCGTAGAATTTCTCCACGTCCGTGGGCGAGCTTGTGGGCGAGAGGAAGTCCCGCCGCGCCGTTGGCTGCAAAACACTCTGGAGCCGAAGTCCAACAGTTGTTCACACATGGTACTTTAGCTGCTATACATATAATATATGGAATGAAATGCGTTAAATAACAGAAGCACCCACGTAGCTCAGTGGTTTGCTCACTGCTCGTGAACCATGAGCGTTCGAGTTCCCCATCTTTTTTAGCAATTTTACCGGTCTTTATTTACGCTGCGTTGCGGGCGAGGCTGTTGGGCCTAGCGTGCCAGTTTAGCCTATTTAGAAGGGAGCTGGATCAGGCGGTCCATTTCGCGTGCAGGTGGGGGCGCGGCTGTTGGGCTAGTGTCCTAGGCTGGCCCAGAGGCTCAATCAGGCTTCCATGAACAGGTGACCCAACTAGGACAAAGAAAACAAGTGAGCTGATATAAATAAAAGAAAAAAGAAAAAAACATCGGGTGATGTGGCAATAGGCCTTGCCAATATGGACAAAAATATTTAAAATAATTCAATAAATAATTTGTGACACGTAAATAGGCCTTATGACAAAACAAATATCGTCACAGGATAAAATTGGACTAGTTGTGTGACACTTATTGTGACATACAACTTTTTAATGTCACTAAGTTGAAATGCCTAAAATATAATGTCATAAACCAAATGATATAATGACATAATGACCTACATATTTCTTGTAGTGTATTTATGCCTCTGGCAACGTAAAACTTTCTATGCAATACTAACCATGTATCGCATTGAATCGCTACTAAACTGATGCAATAGTAGTCACCTATTGCATCAAAGTTTAGCACTATTAATTCGTTGCAATAGTACTCCCTATTTACATCCATATTCTAAAGAGTTAAATGCACCGTATGTCCATTAACTTTAGGTGATATGTCATTCTGGTCCATCAACTTTCAAATTGTATTTTTAGGTTCATTAACTTTTGATGGTGTGTCATCCAGGTCCATCAACTTTTAAATTGTATTTTTTGGGTTCATAAACTTTTTAATTGGTTCACCGTAGGTCCATACCCTTTCGTTTAGTGAATAGATCTGACATGACATGCCAAATAAGCAGCCACCGTGGAGTACAGGATGAGATCACCATCCGGAGATAATCTTCAATACGAAGAACCTGATGGGATCACCATCTAGGGTTTCTCGAGCGGTGGCTCGACGGGGAATAAACTCCACAATAAAAT